TTAATCCCTCCATCCATCATCCATCCATCTTTAATCCATCCATCATTAATCCCTTCATCAATTGTTAATCCCTCCCTCCATCATCCATCCATCGTTAATCCCTCCATCCATCATCCATCCATCTTTAATCCATCCATCATTAATCCCTTCATCAATTGTTAATCCCTCTATCCATCATTCATCCATCGTTAATCCCTCCATCATCCATCCATCGTAAATATCTTTCTCAATCATCCATCCATCTTTAATCCATCCATCATTAATCCCTTCATCAATTGTTAATCCCTCTATCCATCATTCATCCATCGTTAATCCCTCCATCATCCATCCATCGTAAATATCTTTCTCAATCATCCATCCATCTTTAATCCATCCATCATTAATCCCTTCATCAATTGTTAATCCCGCCATCCATCATCCATCATTAATCCCTCCATCATCCATCCATCACAAAATCCCTCCATCCATCATCCAGCCATCGTTAATCCCTCCTTCCATCATCCATCTATCCATCTTTAGTCCATCCATCATTAATCTCTCCATCATCCATCCATCGTTATTCCCTCCATCCATCATTAATCCCTCCATCATCCATCGTTAATCCCTCCATCCATCATCCATCCATCCATTATTCTTTAATCCATCCATCATCCATCCATCGTTAATCCCTCTATCATCCATCCATCGTAAATCCCTCCATCCATCCATCTTTAATCCATCCATCATTAATCCCTCCATCATCCATCCATCGTTAATCCCTCCATCCATCATCCATCTATTGTTAATTCCCCATCCATCCATCATCCATCTATTGTTAATTCCCCATCCATCCATCATCCATCTATTGTTAATTCCCCATCCATCCATCATCCATCTATTGTTAATTCCCCATCCATCCATCATCCATCTATTGTTAATTCCCCATCCATCCATCATCCATCTATTGTTAATTCCCCATCCATCCATCATCCATCTATTGTTAATTCCCCATCCATCCATCATCCATCTATTGTTAATTCCCCATCCATCCATCATCCATCTATTGTTAATTCCCCATCCATCCATCATCCATCTATTGTTAATTCCCCATCCATCCATCATCCATCTATTGTTAATTCCCCATCCATCCATCATCCATCTATTGTTAATTCCCCATCCATCCATCATCCATCTATTGTTAATTCCCCATCCATCCATCATCCATCTATTGTTAATTCCCCATCCATCCATCATCCATCTATTGTTAATTCCCCATCCATCCATCATCCATCTATTGTTAATTCCCCATCCATCC